TGTAGCTTTGCGCGAAATTCAAAAACAAACAAACAAATAAAACAAACTCTCTTTGGGATTAGCTTTATGCAGGTGAATAAGAAGTAACTGTGTTACTGGAAGTCGTGTTTTTTCCAGCAAGAGAGACTAATTCTAAATTTCTTGTTACAAGCGAAATTTTTCAAGAATAAATGTAAAAAATTGGAATAGAATCTAGAAAACTAATTCCTTCGAATTGAAGAGAATGTATTCTTATATAATATTAATACTGCTTCTGCCTTGTTTGTTGAGGTGGATGATCATCTTGGCAATATTCAGCGAGAAGTAGGAAACGTCGTCAAAGAAGGAATAGTCTCTTAGGAATTCCAGGGCTGTTTTTCATTTTAGCTAAAACTTAAATTTAAAGTATTCTTTATTAGTCAATCCTTAGCTTCATTTTTATTTTCAAATCAGTGAAAATGAGTAAGCAGGGTCTTAAAGTATTAAGACAAAGGAATAAAATCTCACTAAGTTATCAAGTTGTGAAAAAGTAAAATGAGAGACGACCTTTATGATAATAAAGCCTCTTTAAACAACATTAATCCTCTTAGTTTAGAAAAGGCACATTTGATGTTACAAAGAAAGATATGGCAAAGCTAAAACCTTATAAACTGTACAGAGTTGTGCACTTGTTTTTGAGTAAATAAATGTCAGACGGAGAAAAGAGAATCTGAAATAACAAAATGAGGTCAATCCACGAACTGAATTTATAAAGAAATAAAACATTGAACTTTAAACACAATTTAACAAAAATATTGCAAGCTCAAAAAGCATCAGTAATACCACCAAAACAGAATTATTAATCTTTGTATCTATTTTTCCCCTCGAGTTGCTTTAAAATACGTTACCCAAGAATATTTAAAATTGATATTCAGCATGCCATTCTTTGGAATATTTTAATTTTGTTCAGAGAAAATATTCTGTGAATATCTAAAATTATATTAATCTTAATGTGCAGTTCAAACAATCTTTTAAACACGACGTTAAGTTATATGTTTTGTTGACCAACAATGAAAAAAACAACAACAAACAAACAAACAAACTATTCACCTTTAAGTCACTGCCGTAAGTGTCACGTGGGTTACTTTATACTGTGGCAGATAAATAACGAAAAACGAACCAAGTTTGTCATACAAATAATCAGCGGTAGCCAACGCGACAGGTCGTGTACACATTTATTGTTAACTGCAAAGTGGCAGCCACTGCAACAGGTCGTATACACGTTTATTGTTAACTGCAAAGTGGC